AGGAGGAAGCCTTGTTTTAGCACTGAGGTCACAAATAACGCTCTAGGTGTGTCCCGTCACCCAAGACATATACAGGCTTCATGTCCTTGTGTTTACTGGACATGTGAAGTGCAAAGTACACTTGGTGATCATCTCTAAACAAACATTCCCTAAGGACTTGCTTATACAAGGAGACCTAACCACGTAATTGCCCTATTTAACACCACAGATGGGTGCTCTTGAACTGGAAGAGGTGTTGGGGAGTTAACGCCACCATTACATCATTGTATATGTTGCCTTCAAAGATAGGGTTTGAGTTGGCAGGAACCTTGACGTCCCTCAAATGAAGTGTGTTTGTCTTGGCCTCCTCTGGAAGGGGGTCTTCTGGCCTCTTCCCTTTTCTCCCTTACGTGGAGGCATTGGCCGAGTGCTTTCTGTAATGCTGTCATCTTTCCACGCCGAGGGTTGAACACAATGTTATTTGGCAGATGTCTTCTGAGCATAAAATTGAGCCTTGCTACAATAATACTGGCTCTAATCCTGCTTTGTCAGAGGCAATAAACTTCAGAGCTGGGCACAACTCGTGTAACCTAATGACCCACACCCCATTCATTTTCATGGCTTTCTTAACATACGCTATACTCTGTGTACATACAAGCCGTGCCGTTCCCTGGCTGCTACACGATTTATGGTCTCTCACTGGAAGAGTTATGCGCTTGCGTCTCCTTTGTAAAAGCTTTAAACTAGAAAGGGTAAGAAATCTAGCCTTCAACCTGGCCACTTCTTAAGCACCAAACTTTTCTCTTCTGTTGGTGTCTGTAGGCGCACTCCAAAACCCAAGGGGCTGGTTGAAATAACGCATCTTTCTCCTGACCTTAAAAGAGGGTTGACCTCAAGAGCTTGTACAAAGAAGAATTAAGCAAGGAAAATCCCTTTATAACCTAACAGGGGGTTTTGGTGTTGTTTCTTTTTCCCCATGTCCCCCTTATGTAAGGCATGCTTATATGCGTCACCAGTTTATAAACTTTGTGCTGTAGTTCTTAGCCTTTGGCTGCAACTTGGAGAGTACAGGCACAGGTGAAGCGCTGGTTTCCTTTGAACACAAACTGTTGGAGAATGGGCATGCTCTCCTCTTGACTTCCTATCTCCCCAATCTACCTTTTGATTTACGTGTGGCTTTTCTTGCTTGTGGTGGTGTTCCCTTTCATATGAAAGTTCGCCTGGGCTAAGCATCTCATTCTGGAGCTGAATTTCCTTCTTGCTCCAATATTAGTGAAATAATGTCACTTCTGCAATGCTCCAGGAGCAGCTGCAGACTAGGCTTGGTCATTCCCCTTGGTGGCCTTGGCATAACTCTTATATTGACCCATCCCATCCAGAGATGATGCTTTGAGACCAACGGCAGATCCTCTTGAGGCAAGAGGTGCTGCAATTCTGTGTGTTACTGCAGTTACCCAGCTTCGTAGAGGGTGAGGAGGAAAGCAAGGTGTGGGGAGATCACATGAAGTCCTTAAGGGCAGCAAGTCTCGAGATCCTGACTCGACAGCCTCACAAGGCTTTGGTATTACATCAGGTGCTCCAACACCTGACTTTCCGGTACTTTTTTTGCTGTTGGCTTAGGAGCCTGGATGGGAGTTGATAACCATCTCATTAAATCAGATTGAAAAGACACCCAGTGTTCAGTTGGGGGAAGGGCGGGGGGGAAACCTTGTAGGTCTACAAATGTCTTGGAGGAAGAATAGAACAGAGTAGACTCTTGATTGGAAGGGACCTACAGTGATCATCTAGTCCAACTGCTGATGAAAAGTTAAAGCTTGTTATTAAGAGTATTGTCCAAATGCCTCTTAAACACTGACAGGCTTGGGGCATCAACCACCTCTCTTGGAAGCCTGTTCTTACCCTCTCAGTAAAGAAATGTGTCCTCATGTTCAGGCTGAACCTTCCATGCCGTAGCTTTTACCTATTCCCACGAGTCCTATCACTAGATCCCAGGGAGAAGAGACCAGCAGGTCCCTCTCCAAGTCTAAGCAAATCCAAAGGCTGTGATGTCCTAGATGATGTTGAACCGTGTTTGGTCCCCAGCTGTATCGGGGCTTGCAAGCGTTCTTGAAGGGCAGCTCATTTGTGCCCTTGTGGAAAGCCGAAGTGATTAATGATTATCAGTGCCGCTATGTTTGCATGCTTGAGAAGGGTCTCATTCATCAGGGTTGACACTGTACCTGCTCAAATTTTGCCCCTTGGTGTTGTCTCAAGCCGGGCATGGGAGAAGTGGGGAGCTGCCAAGTCAATTAGCTAAACCCCTTGGTTGCTTTTGCAGTGAAGAGGGTTTAATGCTGTTTTTAATATATTTTAGAGCCATCCTGGTGTCTTCTCATGCCACTCTGCATCATGCTTCTTTTCTTAGTTTCTTCTTGCTTTGCCTCCAGACAAGGAGACATTCATGGACCTTCTCTGTGGTTTTAGATAGTCCTTCACTTGTGCCTCTTCCGTCATCTCTTACCTGCATGTCCTCTGGTCTCCTGCCTGTCTATTCAGGTAGTCTTTGCTCTTCTTCACCCTCCCAAAAAAAAAAAAAAATTATCTTAAAGTCCTCTGACTGCTTTCAAGCAAACCTTTGTGAGAAGTGGAGAGGTCTCAAAGGTGATGAAAGCTGCTGTAGGAAGAGCTGGAGGCAGAGAAGAGGTGCTTTCTACCTCCAACAGTTGCTACCAGAACTGTTGAGTTTTGGATGGATTTTTATGGCTCTGGAGGCAGAGAGAGGGGGACTGGATCCTTCCCATTTGCATGTATTTGGATATATTTGCATACACATTTGGCTTGCTTGTCTGTGCAGCTGACAAGTGCACAGCTCTCATCTGTAAACCTGAGGGGCTGTTGAAATTTTAATAACCACCACCTTCTCTTTACAGATCCTTCCTCCCCCCCCTTAAGCTTTCACTTCCATATGTAGGTTAATGTCTTGCACTGTATGAAGAAACAGCATTGAAGGCACAATGTTTGTAATCAGCCTTTAATAAAAGAAATACTTGTGCCATATCTTGGACTGTATCTGCATGAGCAGCTACTTTCTAAACAAGAGTTTGGTGCTGTCTCCTTTGCTTTGAGAACCTCTGGGTGCTCAGATTTGAGTCTGCATGGTTGGGTTGGTTTGTTTTGGTTTTTTTTCAGGACCGTGTTCAATGATGACCCACCTCCTTCCCGTGGAGAAAACCTGGCATGGTCCCTTCTCGGTCCCTATGCTGTGGGGTTACTCATCCTTCTCCTTTTTCTTCCAATTTCTGGATTTTTTTTTTTTTTTTCCCTGGGGAGCCAACAGTGTGTGCAGGATGAGTGCGTTACCCAGGGGACTTCTGGATCAGCCTTTCCTGTATTTGCTCCTGACCCAAGATTTGTGCAGCTGTTGGGGTATTTTCCTTAAGGTCCCATTTAATTGCTTTTCCAGAATAATGAGGGTCTCATGCTTCCAGCTTGTTCCTTCAGTAATTTCAACAAATTCATGGATTATTGTAAAGCACTAAGCCTGCAGATTTATGGACCAGATGGAGTGACTCTGATTCCTCAGTCTCCAATGTACCAATTAGGAGCTCAAATCTTTTGCTTAAATGAATATGCAAATGTTAATCCCGGACCCTTTTCAAAGGGGACACCACTAAGTGGACTTCAAGTACAAGAAATTAATTTGCAGAAAGCTGAAGAAGTCCACGAAAATACAAATTTTTCCATTCCCTACATACTCGTCAAAGCTGGCCTCATACTTTTTGGAGGAAGGATTTCTTTTTTTCCTTTCCTACTTCCCCAGAAAAATCAAATAATTTATTAGAAGTAAGTTTTCCCAGTGTAACACTGGAATCTACAGTGGGTTTTGGAGATGTAAACCAAGCGTGGCCCCGGCTTGTTGGATTTGAGACTGTTGTGACCCATCCTGGAGGATGAGGTGAGACCTGGTGAAGCCCATCGAGGTCTCTACATGGAAGAAATTAGCTGAGGAGTTGTTTCGGACAGGATGAGAGCGGGCACTCTTGGACCTCTTCAGAGTCTCTGGGGTAGCAAAACTCCTTCTTGATGTGGAGGCAAGTGGTTGACCAGCAGTGATGGAGGTAAAGCAGTGGGGAGCAGGGCAAGATTGACGTGCATACCAAATGGAGGTTTTCAAAGGGAAGCAAGAGGGTGAAATAGTGGCTTTGAGGACGTTCTTTTAGTGCTACAGTGGATCTTAATATGTTCTTGGAGAGATCTGCCGGTGCTTTGCACCGGTGTGTGAAAAGCAGCCTCGGAGATCTCCATCCTCTTAAACTGCCCAGCCTTGTGCCGTCCCAAACGGGTGGGTTTTTTTTTCATACAGGGATCTTGTAGAGGCTCACTTCATCCATCTGAACTTCTCCTTGTACAATGGAAATCATCTCAGCTTGGGTAAAGCTTTTGTGGCCCTGGATTTGGAGACCCTCATCCTGGCAACCTCTCTGCCTGGGGCAGCCCATAATAACCTCTTGCCCCAGTGAGACAGAGGGATATTGCCGTCTGTTATTTCCTGAAGTCGGAGATTAAACGTGTTTTTCCCTGTCTGCGGAAAGTCCGAGCCGAAGCCAAGGGAAGGAGGGATGGAATTAATTTACTGTTTTGTGCGACTCATTTCTCCACCCCCGTGAACTCTTGACTTGCTGTCTGCACTCGATCCCCTAGAGCCGGCAGGAGATGGGAGCACTTCTAGACGTTGGGGTCACATCTGTTCCTGAGCTTGAGGGTTATATTAAGCTCATCTACAGCCCCCGGGGTCTTGTCTTGTGTCTGGATGGCGAGACCCGGGCAAGGAGATGCTTAGTTCATGTTGCATTTGGGAAGCCTTTTCTGAATACCTTCGAAAATAAATGGCTGTAAGCAACATGTGGTGTTAGATAATAAAACCTCTATTTCAAGTGCAATGCTAGGCTCTCAAAGTGCCCTTTTTAATCCCCAAATGGTGGGTTGTTGGTTGTTTTGGTGGTTTTTTTTTTGGTGACATTCCTGCCCCTCTCTCTCAGCAGGGCTGTGACCCCTTCGCCCAGACCCAACGTAGCAAACTGCAGCATCGCCGGGCGCGGATCAACCAGCAGATCAACAAGGAGATGAGGATGCGAGCTGGGGCAGAAAACCTCTTCAGGTGAGTCCTGGTCCCCGGAGCATCCCTCTGGCCCGGGGATTTGGCTGGGGGTGGAAATATGGTCTTGATGGCTAGGACCCAGGGGATGCTGGCACTTCCATGGGTACAGTTGGGTTTTGCTTAGGTTGCCCTTGACTTTGCAACATTCACCCTAGAAATGCATGCCATCCATTGGGTGCAGTGCTAATGCTATGCATTTTAAAGAAAAATTAAAATTTTAATGTCCTGAAAGCCTGGTACAAAGTAGAGTTATGAACAGATGGAATAATGGGATGTTGAACCGGGATTGAGCTTGGACTGCAGAGCTCCTGCCTGATAACCCCTGGTGAGTGGATCAAATCCAGCTTTAGTTCCAAAAATCCCCATCCCAGTGCTTCTACCATAGCAGAATTTGAAAATTCAGGTATGTCTTTGCAGATGGGGACAGTCCGGTGGCTCTCCACCCCGTTGGGAGGATGCATTTATGGGTGCAAAAATTGGTACCCTTTTATGGCTTTCAGATTGTCTAGCACAAAGTAGAGGGTTCATGATGCAATTCCGTGATTTTTTTTGCAGCTGCTTTATCTTTTTTTAGCCCACAGATGACCTTTTTTTTGTAGCCTTTGTGTGTATTTCATGCTCCTGTAGGATATTGGAGCGCACGTGCAGGGTGGGCAGGTCTGTTAGTATAAGAAAATGTCATAAGGCTGCCCTAAACTAGCTTTTTTTAGCATATTGTCCCTGTTTGTTGATTTATTTCTTTTTTTCTTCTCCAATAAAATAAAATGGACTGTTCACTTCTGAACTTGAACAATTTAAGGTCAGTGGCGTATGCACCTGGAAGAAGGGAGTAATAGTTGCCTCCCCAAGCGATAGGAAGAAATGGTATTTTACTGGTGGTCGAGAACGGCTGGGCTTCCTGGGGGAGGTGAGGTTACAGCCCCCACACACTGCTGCTTCAACCAGGCTGCCGTGCCTCATCTAATTAAAAAAAAAAAAGGCTGTGAAATCCCAACGTGTGCTGCTCCATGCGACTCCCCTTTATTAGGAAAAAAAAAAAAGTGTGGGGGGGAAATGTGCTGGCTCAGCAGAAACACGCCTGGCCGTGGTTTTGGTGCAAACAGCAGGACTTGGAGCTGCGTGCAGGGGAGTGAGCAAAAATGTGATGCAAAACACATCTTAATTACTTGGCTGGGGAAATGCACTGATGGGGATCGTTTTGGGTTTTTTTTGGTTTTTTGGGTTTTTTTTTTTGTTGTTTTTGCTGGATCAGCAGTTTGAATGTCCTTTGGTAGCAGCTGCTTTTCCTCCCTCCCGCAAGTCCACTTTGCAGCTGAGTATTAATGTGGGTTTCTCGGCGCTACGGTGCTCAGAGCTTATGAAACATGGGAAATCTTGGGGGAGGGGGGGTGTGTGCAGAATTAACCAAGCCTGTGCCTGAAATTAAAGGCTGAAGGGGGGGATTATGTTGTAAATGTAAAGGTTATTGCTTAAAAATTGCAGACCTGAGTTGCACGGGGAAACTTCCTTTTCATCTCACGATGCCAGGGCTAAACAGAAATGGAAAAAAAAAAAAAATGGGGTTTGCCCAATCCGGAGCAGGGTTAGCAGCTAAACTTGCTGGTTTCTTTACCTCTGCAAGAAGAGGGAAAAAAAACAAACAAACAAACAAAAAACAAAAAAAATCCCCACAAACCAAAACCCAACAACCCCAACTCTCAGCGCTTTAAAAAAAAAAATAACCTCCCCAACCCTACCGTTCAGCATATCGGTCTCCTTTCCTGGAGAGGTTGCCGTGAATGGTGTGTTGGAAAAAATGCATGTGATGTTTGCTCAACGGTGTTAAGAGGGTTTGTTTGCTGGTTAAATAAATGGGCAGAGGCAGCGGAAACCTTTTCCTTTCTTGTTCAAATACTGGGGCTGAGCGGAGCAGTGGGGGAGATAAAAGTGTTGCCAATAAACCAGTTTCTTAAAAAGAAATTAAAAAAAATAATAAATAAATCGGCAATCTTTGTTTGGTGTTAGCTAAGCAAACAGCTGATAACTTCACCGAGGAGGCTGGTGGAGACACGTAGGCTCTGCTTGCTCCTACGGAGATCGGTGCTTGCCCTGGCCAGGGAGCACAAAGTGCCCCAGTGTGGGTTTGCTCGTGGAAATGATAGAGTGCTCCCTTAAATTATCTCTCTGAGAGATCCTGTGCTCTTAATTGCTGCATGTGGCACTTGTGGAGTGCACACTGAAGTGCCCCGAAGTGACATTGGGCTTTAAAACCTGAACCTGGTGACAAATCCTGGGAAAAAAAAACTCGTACGAGCGTGCAAAATCGTGCAGGGCAAAATTGGGTTTTGGAAGCTGACACCTCCTTTCTGCTGCAGAGCAGGGGTGAAAGCACTGATCAGAAATATATCGTGTGGACATGCAAATGTTATCCTGGCGTTGCTGGGTTGCAAATCAGCTCTTGGTAACATAAGAAATTAAAAAAAAAAAAAATAATTGTTGCCACCTGGGAGCAAGAAAGTGAAACTCTCTTTTAATTCATATTGGAAGAGAAGTATAGCGACAGCAATAATGCACCTCTGTGTCCTGGAGGTGTTGTGATGCGTGGAGGACTAAATTAGCAATTAAATACTGGTTTATAGGGGAAAAAGTGGTTATTGTGCAGATACCGTATGGGGAATAGCACAAATGCCGAAGGATTTTTAAATGAAAGTGGCTGTGGAGATCTTTGGGCCCACTGTGGTTTTGCTTTGTTTGTTTAAAATAAAAAAAAAAAAACAAAACAGTGGTCTTGGGAAATCCCAGCAAAGGGGAGTCAGGGGAGGAGACACTAAAGGACCAGCATCTTAAAAGAAAAACAGCATAGCTGCTTCTTGCCAGGGCAGGGCAAGGTCCCTGAAGGATGCTCTCCACAAAAATACACAAGTTGAAGGCACCGTGCTCTGCAAAAACTGGGGGAAAGCGTTGCCCTTGCCGAGCAGAACTCGTACACATGTTGTTTTTCCCTGACCCCGGTGTGATTTAGTGCGAGCCGCCAGAGCCCCATTCAGCCGACAACTGCACACTGTTATCTCTCCCTGCTTTCCTTCGGAGCAGATAAGAAGGGTATAATCAGCCTGGGAGCTTGTCTTGCTGGGAGCGGGCAGCTGAAATCAATCCTCGGTGTTTACATCTCCTGATGTGCACAAGTGGGGAAGGGAGGGCAGGGTCTGGCTGTACTTGTGGGTGAGCACAGCGTGCCTCTTCTCTTGCAGAAGGATTGTTTCGACCCAAAAAGAAGGTTTTCTTCTTGTTGTGGTTTAACCCCGGCTGGCAACTAGGATGACACAGCTGCTCGCTCGCTCACCCCCCCGCCTCTGTTGGGATGGGGGAGAGAATCGGAA